AAGATATGCTTATTTGGAATGGTCAGCCAGTCAAGATCAAAAGGGCAGCATTTACTTAAGGACAAAGTTCTGAAGGGCTGGGAAGGAAAGTGAAATGGAAACAAAATCACAGGGAGTAGAATACCTGGTGTTACATGGAGGAGATCCCAATCTACTGAAATGCAATAAAGTGTATGATTTGTCCAATGTAAAATGATGATTTACTCTGTAAACCTTCACTCAACTGACAATTAAAGTTTAAACAAAAAAAGAAGATTACAACAAATAGGAAATAATCTTTAGTGTCTAGGGGTCTAGGGTGAGGCAGGAAAATTCCTAGGCTTGACACAAAAAGCATGACTTATAAGAAAACAAAACTGATACACTGGACTTCATCAAAAGTAAAATATTTTGTTCTGTGAACTACTCTTGAGATTATGAAAAGATTTTTTTAAAGTTAAGAAGATTTTTTAATAAAAGAAATGATCTGTTATGGTTACTGGGGAGGGTAAATTACTCACGGGCTAGAGAGTAGACACATGCTAATGTGGATAAAAAGGCAGGCAATATACAAGAGGGAGGTTACCGAGGTACACACACAGAGGAATGCAATAGTTAAATTTAATAGAGGTAAATCCTGCTAACTGTGGGTACATGGAAAGGATTTAAATGACTGTAATGAATCAAAGTATATGATTTGTTGTTGAATGTAAAACTGATTATCTGCTCTGTGAAACTTCACTTAACTCACAATAAAAAACTTTTTTTTAATTATGAAAACAAAAACTACAGAATGGGGAAAATATTTTCAAACTACATATGTAACACCAAACTAGTACCTAGAATATATAAAGAACACTTCAAACTCAACATTAAAAATGGTCAAATTAGAAAATGAATGGACATTAAACTGAAAAAGATACACATGGCAAATAAGCACATGAAAAGATGTTTAACATCATTAGCCATAAGAGAAATGCATATTAAAACCACAATGAGATATCAATACACATCTACCAGAATGACTAAGAAAATAGTGACTACTTACTGTTGGCAAGGATGAAAAGAACCTAAACCACTTACACTCTGCTGATGAGAATGAAAACTGGTACAGCTACTGTGGGAAACTGTTTGGCAGTTTCTTAAAAAAAACTACACATGCCACGATCATATAACCCAGCAATGTGTTCCTGGGCATTTACCCAGAGAAATGAATACTTATGTTCATATAAAACTCTGTATATGAACGTTTATCGCAGATTTATTTGTGTTAGTCAAAAAATGGAAACAAGTCAGATGCCTTTCAACAAGTGACTGGCTAAACAAACTGTACATCTATTCATGGACTACTCCTTACCAACCCAAACCTACTGCCATGGAGTCAATGCCAACTCATAATGACCCTATCGAGAGTTTCCGAGACTATAAATCTTTACGGGAGCAGGCAGCCTAATCTTTCTCCCTCAGACGTGCTGGTTGATTTGAACCGCTGACCTTCTGGTTAGCAGCCCAATGCCTAAACCACAGTGTCACCAGAGCTACTCTCTCATACTTCAGACAGGTTATCAGGAGGAACCGGTTTCTGGAGAAGGACAGCATGCTTGGTAGTGGAGGGTAGGAGAAAAAGAGGAAGACCACCAACAAAATGGATTGGCACAGTAGCAACAGCAGTGGACTCCAGTGTAGCAATGATCAGGAGGCTGGTACAGGATCGGGCAGTGTTTTGTTCTGGTGTTCATAAGGTCACTGAGTCGGTACCAACTTGATGGCACCGAACAACAACAACCTATCAAGCTTGCACTATCTGACCAACCTCAGTGCTTCCATATGTACCAATGTTGTCGTTGTTAAGTGCTGCTGAGCTGGTTCTGACTCATAGTGACCCTCTATGTGGTTTCCGAGGATGGGTTAGAACTGCCAACCTTGTAGTTCAAGCTGACCTTGTGACCAAGTGCTTTATCCTACAGTGCCGCACCAGGACTTCAAATGCACCCACAGCTCAGAGAAAAAGGCAAGACACCATGTCACAGTGGCCTCAGAAGTCTGGTCAAAAGAGTATTAAAAAATATCTTGACAACTGGAGATGGATTATGTTCTACAATAAAATGTAATCACTTAATTTTCACTGTATATAAAAGAAGCACTATAATCATTCTGTGCAGCACACTTAGAAAGCATAGTTTCAGGCCTGTTACTATGACAGAAATTGTTTTGTTTGAGCTTTTCTTTTTTGAAGCATGAGTTTGTTTACTTCTTGCCAGGAAAAACACACCTGAAAGGCAATGCTCCACCACTAAGCACCTTCTAAACTACATTAGGCTGTCCTAGGGCTGTAGCAGGTCTGCATATGCAAAGTCCTAAGTGTGGTGGTGTAGGATAAAGCACTGGACCACAAGGTCAGTTTGAATTGAAGATAAGTGGTTCAGGCTCACCAGCCGCTCCTCGGAAACCTTATACAGGATCGCTATGAATCAATGATACTTTAACAAGGTCAAGAGCACTAGCCCAAGAGTCACCGAGTGAACAATGGCAATGATAATAGGATTGTTGTTGTTCAGTGCCATGGAGTCAGTTCCGACTCACAGTGATCTTGTATAGGGTTTCTGAAGAGCAGCTGGTGGGTTTGAACTACTGACCCTGTGGTTTGCAGTCTGGTGCTGATCCTACAGTGGGAGGCCTTTTGCGAGGATTTAATAAGCTTAGTACAAAAAGCTCAATTATTATTTTATTTATTATTAAACATTAAAAATTACTCCATTAAGGCAAAGCAACCTAAAACACAGGATTTTTACAAGACTAATTTATGAAATTACTTTTAAGAATACTTCATAAAATTAAAGCATTATGTGAAATTAGGGAGCACAGTGGCTCCATTATGATAAGCACCAGGCTGCAAACCATGAGGTCTGTGGTCTGAGTCCACCAGTTGCTCCATGGGACAAAGATGAGGTTTTCTGCCTTCTCGAATATTTAAAGCCTCAGAAACCCTACACAGGGCCGCTCTGAGGCTCTAAATAGACAGCACTTAAAAACAACAAATGTGAATTTCTACTTCATGCATGAAATGTCATTCATTATGGTTGTACCTTTCAAATCTGATGTGAAAACAATTGTTGAAAATATATAAATGATTAAGGAGATTTTTAAAAAGTAAGACCTCTTAAAAATTTCTAGTTTGTGTTTACATAAAAGTAGAATGCATGTATTCAAAGTCTTTCCCTGTTCTAAATCTTCCTAATGTATTTTCTATACAAGGCAGAGAAATGTGTTAGTTACAAAAGTTAGATCAAAGAACCCTACTCTGAAATGTTTCAACAAAGAAATTCTTAAGTGTGGGTATCTGGCAAGGTTTTTCATCCTTTCCTACAAATCTGTGCCTCCTCTGGGTTAGAAATGCCTATCATCTAGACACAAAATCTGTTCCTTCATAAGTCTCATATCCATTCTGTCTTCTAGGCCTGGGGACTCTTCTTTCCCAATGTTCATTTTTTCTATTCCTATTTCATCATGAAGTTTATACTCATTATTCTCTGGCTGGAATGGCAGAAACAACGTGCCCAATTAATTTGCTTCCAATCTCTCTAACTCTCATAATCCATTCTATTCACCATTGCCAAATTAAATTTCCTAAAATCCTGCTTTTACTATGTCCTTCACACATACCCCCTCCTCCCACCACTGGTCCACATTGAAAGACTTTTCCCAAAGTACAAGATCAACAGCCTGGATATGAGGCGCGCCTGGAAGCAAAATGATTATTAGTGTCCAGAAAAATGATTAGCTTTTAGTGTCCTAGGCAGATCACAGAGGCCCTGGCACAGAGAGCCCATTAATATTAAATTCACAAAGATCTGGATCTACTAAAATCAGAGAGGCAGGTCACAAAGTTAATAGAAGCTCACATTAAAAGAGAGATAAAGATATGCCTGAGTGTTTAAAAAGAAGAAGAAGAAAAAAAGGGCTAAAGTGAATAGAGAGAAACACTGTTAACTGATGGTACATGGAGGGGATTATAATTATTGTAGTGAAACAATGTGTATGATTTGTTGAATGTGAAACTGATGATGTGCCCTGTAAACTTTCACTCAATCCACAATAAAAACCTTAAAGAAAAAACAAAGTGATGAGACTGATATAAAGAGCTGCTGCTGAGGCTGTTATTTACAACAAACACCTCATGGGATTTGATTCCTTGGTGTGAAGTTGAGATTCACAGTTTCATGGGGCATCCTAGTTAACTGGCCTAACTAATAGCATACTTAGTGCTTCTGTTCTACCTCCTAGTTTGTGGAAGTGTCCAAAGTTTGAAAAGCTTGCAAGCTACCATCCAAGGCACAACTGGTCTCTATGTACCTGGAGCAATAGACAAAGAAAGAGAATCATGAATAGGAGGAGGCTATGGAATGTGTGTCTAATTGCCTCCATGAACAACTGCCTCTTTTGTCATGAGACCAGAAGAAATGGATAGTGCCTGGTTACCTTACTGAGTCTTTTCATCAAAGACCAAAAGGGAGGAAATGAAGCAAAGAAGTTCAAATGCTCATGGACTCTAGACTTTCTGGAGCCCTGGAGTGTGGATGAACCTCTGAAACAATTGCCCTAAGATAATCTTTAAACCTCAAGCCAAAAATATTTCCTGAAATCTTAAAATTGAACAACAGTTGTGCCTAACTAGTGGGGGGAAAAAAGATCTGTCTTGTGCTCATTAAGAACTATCTATGTGGGATAAAATTGACAGCAACTCAGAAAAGGAGGGTGAAATGTTTGCACAACTCAAAGATTATGATTGATGTCACTAAACTGTAATTATAGAAACTATTGAATTGGTGTATATTTTGCTGTGCATATCCTCAAGAACAAGAACAAAATGAATAAAATTTAGAAAGAAAAAAAAGAGACAAAAAGATCTCAAACATTATTTTAACTTACTTTAAATGCACCAGATCTTAAATAAATCAGTATAATTGATACCTGAGACAAAAAAATGATGGGAAAGTGTTTCTAAATGTGAAAGAACCTACCTGGTAAAGACATGCTGATGTTCCAAGAAAAAACGCAATGATGTAATTAAAATCCTCACCATCACTCTGTGAAAATAAAATAAAAGATTACTTTTTTTTTCTGGTGGAATACCAGAACAATACTACAACAATTCACTAGGACAGGATACTGACAATGTTTATACATTTTTATGCACAAATGACTAAAACTTTCAGAAACTGGTATGTAAAAATTCTTGAGTCCTAAAATAGAAATATAAAATGTATCACAAGACCCAGGGAGTGTGAGATAGAGGAACGCTACAAATATTCCTCTATTTCTTGTCTTCCCACAGCCATTTCATTTCACTTAAGAGAACTCTTGCTGTGGCACTGTGGATCAGCACTGGACTGCAAACCACAAGGCCAGGAGTTCAAACCCAGCAGCTGCTCCACTGGAAAACTTATACAGGGTCACTATGAGTCAGAACCAACTCCATGGCACTTGATAACAAGAGAAAAAGAAAACCAATGGGAAAAAATCCCCACAAAATATAAAAATTAAATTTTCTGTCTACTTAAGAAGCTGTATAAAAATGTACAACACTCCCAGAGACCTATAAAGTTACTTCTGCTTGCTAGGGTTAATTACTTGACTCAAATAAATATTGACAAGCTTTACTATCCAGTAAGACAGTATTGAATAGCCCAATAAATCTGACACGATTTAAAACACAAAACTGAAAAGCTACTCTCCACTAGAGGGTGCCAAATCCCAGTGAGAGAACTCTAGACTAGTCAGTCATACATGCCAGGCTAGAAAAACAGCCACTGGGAAGAAAAGCAGAGACAGATCACGCATAGCGTATTTCTTTTAAACCATAACTAATAGAGATTAACAGTCCACACTTTCGTATCCCTTTTTGTTCCTCTTACAGAGCTACACTCATTATTGACTGATAGTGAGTCGGTTCCAACTCACTGCGACCCTGAAAACGGTTTCCAAGGAGTGGCTTGTGGGTTTGAACTGCCAACCTTACAGTTAACAGCCCAATGGTCATCCTACACCAAGGATCACTTGTAATGTTGCCTTTCTTCCAGACAGGAACATTAAATTTGCCCCTTTTCTTACTTGAGAAAAAAAAAATTTTTTTATTAAAAGACTGAAAGACATTGGAGTGTCTCCCATGACCATGTCTTCGTGAAATAGTATAAGGAGAAAAATCCCCTTTGGAACTGTTATTAGGCAACAGAGCTTACTGTATGAGTGAGAGAGTGGGTTATCCTATTGAGAAGATCTTAAAATAGGCACCAATAATCTGTCTGGGATGCTGAGGGCCAGTTTACCCTAGAGGCAAGGAAGGTCAATATGAAATCTTTCCACTTTAATAGTTCTAAGACTTTAAATAAACTCTGCTTGATTATTTTTTTTTCTTTAGTCCTTTTAAAATGATCTTTGTTTCTGATTATAAAGTTCATGTTTACTGCAGAGAATTCATAAAACAGAGAATGACACAAATCCATACACTCTATAATACCATTATACAGGGAGAATTGCTTGCTGCTAACTCCTTCACGTATTTGCTTTCAGTCTTTTTTCTAGATGGACAGATCTGAGGGGTCTTCAAAAAGTTCATGGAAAAATTCCATGATCTTTTCATTCCATTTTCCTGTGACTATTTTGAAGCTCTATCATATGGTAGTAGTTGTGAGCCATGGAATCCATACTGACTCATAGCTGCCCTGCACAGTTTCCAAGGTTGTAAATCTTTGCAGGAGCCAAAAGTCTTATCGTTCTCCTGAAGAATGGCTGGTAGATTTGAACTGCACACCTTCAGGTTAGCAGCCCAGCTTGTAACCCAGTAAGCTACCAGGGCTCCCTCATATGTATGTGTATATATGGTTGTTGTTAAGCACCATCAAGTCGGTTCCAACTCATAGCGACCCCGTACAGAATTTCCGAGGCTTTAAGTCTTGGGACCAGAAAGCCTCATGTTTCTCCTGTGGAGTGGCGGCAGGCTCAAACTGTGGACCTTGTGACAGTTAGACAGTGAATAAGGAAGACTGTAGAAGCATTGATGCCTTTGAGTTATGGTGTTGGAGGAGAATACTGAAAGTACAGTGGACTGCCAAAAGAACCAACAAATCTGTGTTGGAAGAAGTGCAGCCAGAGTGCTTCTGGGAAGCCAGGATGGCCAAATTTCATCTTTCATACTTTGGACATATTATCAGGAGGGGCAAGTCACTGAAGAAGGATATCAGTTTGGTAAAGTGGAAGGTCAGAGAAAAAGAGGAAGACCTCCAACCAGATGGATTGGCAGTGACGGCAGCGATGGGCTCAGGTATAGCAATGATTGTGAGGTTGGCCCAGGACCGGGCAATGTTTTGTTTTATTGTGCATAGGGTCACTATGAGTCAGCACTAACTAGATGGCACCTAACAACAACATGTTAACTTGTTTCTTTAAAAAAGTTCAATTGGCAAGACATAGTCCACAAAGAAAATGTTCTACATCCTACTTTGGTGACTAGCTTTAAAGCTCATGAGTGACCATCTAAGGTCTAAGGTGCAGCTATTGGTCTCTGTGTGTTTGGAGGAGAGAAGAGTGATGAAAATTAAAGACATTTGGAAACAATAAGTCCAGTGGGCTAACAGAACACGTGAACATCAGTTTTGATGATCCTGAAACCAGAAGAACTAGATGGTGCCCAGCTTCCACTACTGACCGCTCTGTATGGGATCACATTAAAAGGTCCTGGATAGGAAGACAATGGTTCCAGGCCAGCATTTTTACTGCTTTATCTGAACATTCATTTTTACCCCCAATGTACTACATGCAAATTACTTCCAGGTTGACATTAGCCTAATGAATATAATTGTTTCAAGGTTGACTCATAAAGGTACACAGCAATGTAAGCCCAATATGATAAAAGCTCATTCATTCATGAAGTGTCAATTCACAATAAACTTATTAACATCTGAAAACTCAGAACAAAGTTTGGAAAAGAGTGAAAATAATCTAATTTACACATAACTGTGAACACCAAATCAAATTTATCAACAACAACAAAAACACCTTCAACTATCCTAAAACTCCCTAGTCTAAACTTAAATACCAAAGAACTTCAGTGCTATGTGTTTTAATGAATCCCTTGCTGTCATTCCACAAGGCAGTTGTTAAAATCGAAGAAACAAATGGCATACTGAATCTTTAACAACGTTAACAACAGAAATGATGACTTGTGGGTTTCTCAAATTTAAATGTATCTCAGGTACATAGTTACATATTAGAAAATAAATGTGGTAATCATTTTTAGTAGTATTTGAGAAAAGTAGTAAGAATTCATGGCATATAAAAAGTGAGCTTTAAATTATATCTATTATTTTGCTTACACTCAGAAAATATACTGCATATTCTCAGGAAGATCTAAAAATATGATTCCAAAGTAAATCCTTTGCTCTTAAATCAAATATTAAAGAAACACTGGGGCTACTTAATTTAGGTCCTGTTTTTCCTCTCCTCTATCCTCACCAATTGTGAACAACTGTACTGTAGATGAAGGTTTATGTACTGTGTCTTAGGATTTGCACCCTAGTCTACATAACTGTTGCTGTTAGTGCTGTCAAGTTGGTTCCAATTCACAGTGATCCTGTATAGGGTTTCCAAGGAGCAGCTAATAGGTTTGAGCCACCAGCCTTGTGGTTGACAGTCCAGTGCTTATCCTACAGCACCACACCAGGACTCCAGTCTATACAGAAGACAACCTCAAAAACTACTTATAAAAAATCTCTTACTGACCAAGAGTTATCTATATCTCTTCGACAGACTATTCCTAACACAAATACAATGACCAACAGTTTACCTAAGAAGTTCAGTGGGGTTGTTGTTATGTGCCATGGAGTCATTTCCAACTCACAGTGACCCTGTACAGGGTTTCCGAGGCTGTAAATCTTTACGGGGGCAGAAAGCCTCATCTTTCTCCCACAGATCAGCTGGTAGTTTCGAACTGCTGACTTTACAGTTCACAGCCTGATTTGTAACCACTACGCTACCAGAGCTCCCTGGGGTTAGTGAGAATAAAAAGCATCTTTTATCTAACACCAAGTTTTTAGCAATTATAAAATAGACTCTATTAAGGAAGATTAAAAGAGGAAGATCTCAGGTCATCAGTTTTGCATATTATTTTCTCTCTGGTTAAGCCAGGCTATAAAGGATATATTTGTTGACATCAGTTTGGAGTCCTGAATCTGCGGTGCTTAAAACTCAAGTTGATCACTGTGCCCATATGCATCCTGACATTTCAATTATTCCTTTTGTCAGCCTATGTGGACCACTTTCTACTTTACTGGGTTAGGTAAGAAAGGAAAGTTGTTGAAGTAAATTTAGTTTAAGACAACAGTGAAAGTGAAAAATTCTGTATCAACCCTCAAAAGGCATCTTCAAAGGCACAAAATCCAGAGAGCCCCCAAATTAGAAATGAGCTACTAATAAGAAAGGTCGCTTTAATTTTTGTTTCACCATGGTACAAAGGCTACTCAGCTGCTAGCTAACGTTCAACAGCTCAAACCCACCCAGTGGCACCTTGGGAGAAAGACCTGTTGATCTGCTTATATAAAGATTGTTGTTAATATTAAGTGCCATTGTGTAGGTTCCAACTCATAGTGACCCTGTATAGGGTTTCCCAGTCCAGCACATTATCTGGAAGCACCACATCAGGAATCAAATCCTACATGCAGTTCTATTCTGTCATAAAGTCTGAAACCCCACTTGTCTGGAAGTCTGTAATACCGTGATGCTGGAAGCTATACCACCGGTGTTTAAATTATCAGCAAGGTCACCCATGGTAGATAGGTTTCAGCAGAGCTTCCAGACTAAGAGCAGACTAGGAAGAAGAATACGCAGTCCATTTCTGAGGGATTATCCACAGAAAACCTTATGAATAGCAGTGAAACACCATCTGATAATAGTACCAGAAGATAAACCAGGTAAGTTGGAAGGCACTCAAAATATGACTGGGGAAGAACTGCCTCCTCAATGTACAGTTGATGTGGATGGAGTAAAGTGGAGTCAAGCTTTCTAGACCTTCATGTGCTTGCATGAGAAGAAA